TAACTTAAAATTTTTCAATATCGTTACCTTTTGTAAATATTAAAAAAGTAATATATTAAATAGTTTAAATTAAGTAAATATTAAATAGAGTTCGAGGTAACAAATAACAAAAATCCAGTTGTTACCCTTGTTATCAGTATTTCTAAAACGAAATTATGTATGTATAAGTCTTTCTTTGTATAATACAAATTTCAGGAAACCTCCTCTCAACTATCGACAACTAATCACAAAACGATGAATAAACTCTCCTGCACTATTATTTACTTTATTTTTACTTTACTCGATATTTTTTATCAATATATTATGTCTTTAAAAAGTTGCCTTGAATAATTAAAATTTAAACATATATGTTTGATTACAATATGCAATGTCAAAGATATTTTAATTTAAATATTTCAATTTATATGATTCTTTATGCCCGGCCTACACGTAACGGTTTTACCTTTCAGTCTTGTCTGTTCAATAAAAACATACTATTAAGTAAAATCTTCAATGTAGACGAAATAACGGTTCGTTTTATTTGGACTGAATAAAGTTGGAAGCCTGTCTAGAGGTAGAACTGATAGGATCATTCAGTTTTACAACAAATGTTTTAATAACCAATAATTTACAATAAAATAAATGTCGTTTTGCTTACAGTGAAAAAATATAAATAGATTTATTAAAAATAATTATAATTTTTAATAAAAGAACTAATATTTTTGCATAATTTCACAAAGTAATGTAATTTTGCAAAATTGTTTAGAATATTGCCTAATGATAACGATTGTCACAAATAGCTTGCGTGTTTACAAATAAAATTCATAGATACAATTTTATAGTAAAATTAGTTGTTTTTTTCTTTTAAACTTTACTAAACACAATGCTATAAATTGATAAAACCGCAGGTAAAACTTCCAGTGTAAACGCGAGGTTTTAATCCGCCTAATTACCTGATAGGAAAACCGCGGTAATGCCATTCATCAGAAAGCAAAGTTTGAAAAACTTGAAAAGAATTCAACTAAATGGGAAAGACATACTGCTATCGCAGGAAGTCAAATATCTGGGAATAGCTCTGGACAGTAAACTTCTATGGAACCAGCAAAGCCACAACGGCACTGGCAATCGCAAAAGACTGGAAATAGAGGGGGCTATGCCCTAACATTTTGAGCTGGATGGATACCATGATAGGAAGACCCATGATTACTTATGGAGCAGTTACTTGGTACACAAAACTAAAGAAACGTACGGCAAGGCAAAACCTGTGCAAAATGCAGAGACTGGCTTGCATATATATCACAGGAGCCATAAAAACATGCCCAACCTCGGCAATTGAGGTCCTTCTAGAATTATGACCACTGCACATCGCCATCGGTCGATATGCCAATGCGACCAATGATTAGAATGGTCATTGACGGAAACAGTACTGGGAGGAGATTGTCAGTTCAAGAGTTTGGTATACCCTCAAAGAAAAAAATCCACTTCTCCAACTCCCAGTGATTGACATACCAAGAATGTACTTTGAGAAACACCTCACTGTAGTATTAAGCAATAAAAATGATTGGAAGAACGAAGCGTTTGCTCAGCAGGTAAAAGACCATACCATAACGTGGTATACTGATGCTTTCAAAACCAAAGCAGGAAGGAGTATTTGGGCTGAAAACTAAATACTCCGAACCAATGGGTATCTACCCCAGTATTCTACAGGCAGAAATCTACGCTAGATGCGTATAATTTAAAGAAAAAAGAACCAAGTAATAGCCATCTTATCCGATAGTCAAGCAGCATTAAAAGCGATCAAGTCAGTAACCCTCAATTCAAAGCTGGGCAAAGAATGCCTAGAGAACTTGAACAAATTAGTCAAAGAAAATAAAGTCCTCCTACTCTGGGTACCAGCCCACCAAGGGATAGAAGGCAAAAAAAGAAAACGATCTAGATAGAAAAGGAGCGAACACTCCACTAACTGGACCAAAACTGTTCTGCTTGCCAACTGGAAACCAACTTAAAACGAAACTCAATAACCTGGAAGACTCCATCCGTAACCAGGAATGGGAATCCTCCAATGGTCTGGTTTTTTTGGTGGAAATTTTTCAGAACTTACGACCGAGAAAAATCAAAGATTTTCCTTGATATAAGAAACAACAATCTTCGGATTGTCACGGGATTTTTAACAGGACACTGTCTCCTCAATTAACACCTCGGTAGGTTGAAGGTACTTCAATTGACAGGTAAAACATTATGTGTAGATGAATCTTTAGCTTAAAAACAAATGTATCGATAAAATATGTTTAAAATCGATAATAATTGAAAGGTTATTGATACTATAAATATAGCAACATGAAAATATTTTTGACATGCTTTGAATAACATACAACTAAGAAACAAAAATAATATCGTAATTATCTTGCAATACCAGATGTGGAATTCAAGTGTGTATAATAAATAACATATTTTTTATATTACATATATTATGCATGTATAGATATGCATATCGGAACGCATTAATTGATGACGTTTATTTGTACTATGACCACTCTGTGTAAAACATCAATACAAATTATTGAGAAATAAGAAATAACAAACAACAAAACCTTCCTATATTAACTCAAATCCATAGATGTGTGAAATAAAAAATATATCTACTCAACACAAAAGAATTTTAATAGCTAAACATATTTATGTACAAAATGTATATAGAACTGTATATAAATTAAAATATTAAAAATATAAACAAATACTAATTGCCAGTACTAGTAGCTGATATTATATTTTGATGTCCTTGTTGCTCTACATACTATCATGCATTACAGTTGGTAATCTTTGGATTTTGAAGAAATTAAGGTTGTTTCTGTAACTCATGTAGAATGTTGTATATAAGCAAGATGTAAATAAGACTGATCTTAGTAATTCGTTGAGCGTGTAACATATTTATATGTGGTGTTTTTCAAATTAAAAACCTTTTGCGCTTCGACATGGTGATAATTTACACAAAAATAGGTACCTATTTCATATCATTTATAAATATATATTTCAATTATAGGCATGAACAAAAAAAAATTGTCATTAACGATAGAAATTATTTTTTAAAAAAGTCCTTGGGGTTAGTCACTTAATAGTGGGTGGCTCGTAATTGTTTTTTGGGTAAATTTTGAAAAATTATCATATGAAACTGTGAATTATTTTTTATCCATCATATAATTTACTTGAGAGAATGGGTGATATATTAACATATATTTTTTAATAGATACAAAATATTTTATAAAACATTTTAGATGAATTCAACTACGGTAACGAACATAATATACAGGGTGCTACAAATTCGGGGTACGAGCATTGGTATCTGAGTAATCGTAATAGATACGAAGATGGTTAAATTGGGGCAAAGTGCGCCTTGGGATGTTCACCAAGATGCAGTCAACAAAGTTTTAAAAATTTCAAGGATTGCTGTGTATTTTGGAAAAAAATGGATTTTTTTGAAAATTAATTTTATTTTTTCCTGTCGTTACTTTTTAGAAAATCAAAAAACTAATTGCCCGTTCTCATAGCCAGTTGATTAGGGCTATATGATGGTATTTTTACATTTTTAAATTAGCTGATAATTTGTGAGATACAGGTACCAACTTAATTTTTTCAACTTAATTTCCCTGACATTTGAACACAATTTATTTAAACTAATTTGAAGTCCGGCTCTGTTTTTTTATTAAAACATTATTAATTTTTTATTAAAACAATTAAATCTATCCATCGTTACAATATTGATAAGTCTTCAAACTTAACAATGCCGTGGGGCAAAACATTGACTACGGAAAATCAAATGCAATAAAAAAATTAAAATAATATAATTATAATATAAACAATCAAATAATATCCCCGGAAGATGGATTGGAAATGGTAGAGTAGCATAATGGCCAACGAAGGTCCTGGACTTGTCGCTAAGGGGTGGGGGAGGGACATTACCTGACGTCATTTGTAAACGTGAAATCAATATTTTTCAACATTTACAATAAAGAGTACAAAATGCATTCGGAAGTATAAGAAGAAGATATGTTCAAAGAGCTATAAATAAAATTGAACGAATAATAAATTTGTGCAATAGGAAGAGGGTTGTAATCCTTTCGAACATGTAGAGCATTAGAAACTAGTTTGTAGAAGTTAATTTATTTGTAATAACTACGATTAATATTATGCTCAGATTTCAAATTCACAATACAAAAGTTAAAAATAATATCTTTAAATTGCCGACCTGGATATTATTTATTTGAATTTTTCAACTGGCTCGATTTCCTTATTCAATATTAATTAGCGCTGATCAATATTGTTGCGATAAATATAATCAGATTAAATAATTTAAAAGACCAGAGTCGGACTTGAAATTATTTTAAATAATAACCAAATAGTTTTGTTGTTGTTAAGGTACCCAAAACAAAAAAACTGTAAGGTGTGGCACATCATTGTACTCAGGAAACCGAGTTCTTTTAAAACCTGAAATAAAAAATGCAGGACCGTATTTAAGAAAATTAAGTTGGTCCCTGTATCTCACAAATTATCAGCTAATTTGAAAATCTAAAAAAACTGTCAGATAGCCGTAATAAAGTGGCTATGAGAATGTGCAATTAGTTTTTTTGATTTTTTTAAAAATTAGTAACGATAGAAAAAAATAAAATTGATTTTCAAAAAAAAATTAGTTTTTTTTTCAAAAAACTCAGCAATCCTTGAAATTGTTAAAACTTTTTTGATGGCGTCTTGGTGAATATCCCAAGGCGCAACTTTGCCCCAATTTAACTATCTTTGTATTTATTACGGTTACCGAGATTGCTAGTGGCAAACTAGTGGGGACATAACTGGGTCCATTTAGGATGTAACGATTTTTTTTAAAGGTGCATAATTAATTTTGGACGATGTTAGATAAATTCTAGTGATAAATGCGTAGAAGGAAAAATAATCACGATCCTAATAAAATAATTGTGAAAAATATTTTCTTAAAGATGCCTCACGATTTTAAGTGTACTTTTTATTTACAGATTTTCTGACATGTCGCCAAATACTCAACATAATGGTCATTTTGGGCTTTATGTTCAATTACATGTTAAGGGTGAACCTGACTATTGCCATTGTGGACATGGTAGAAACCAATACGACCAATATCACCAATACAAATTCTTCAAAAGGCCGAATAGATGATACCAAATTCAACTGGGATACTGAACAGAAGAACGCTGTCTTAGGTAAATTGATTTATTACTGTATATTTAAAAATATTTAAACTAAATAAAAGGTCCAGGGGGAAAACCTGATAAGCGCCAATTTCTTAATTTTAGGATTTGTCAATATTAAGGACTAGCAAATGATCTAACTAGCAAGTAGATCTAACTGCTCCCTACAAAATGTATAAACTCGGCAGAGCAATAAGTTGTTAAATCCTATGATATTATATGCCTAGTAAAAATATAGAATACACGGCAAGAAGCCGTGTATTCCAGCCGTCCAGTGTTCTCCTGTAAAATCAGTGAAATGGCGCTTATCATGTTTTTTCCACTGGACTCTTCAAATGGTATAAATTTGTCCAACGAATCAGTTATAATTTCGACAGACAACATTTGAAATATGACTGAATACACCAGTGGCGGCTCGTGACCTGTGTGACTGGGTAGGCGACAAAATTTTAGTTGTGTCTATTTGCCCCCCCCCCCCTAATTTACATAATACCCTAGCCAGTTTGTAAATATATGTTATCCAGGGACGTAGCAAGTCGAACCCGGGCCCTCGTGCAAGGCCACCAGCGGGCCCTTTTCTTTTCTGAATGTATTAACAAAAATATTAAACTACAAAACTATTAGGTACTTATTAACTAATTAATTTATAGTTATTTCTTTGCTGAAAAAAATCTACCTTTCTTGCCTTTTGATTGGTAAACAATGAAATTATTGTATTAAGATCCAAGTTTCTGGCTGTCTCGTTTTCTATTGATAAAATTGCCAAGCTGGAGAGTCTGTTTTGCGACATTTTATTTCTTATAAATAATTCTTAATTAATTTTAAGACTGAAAATGATCTCTCGGAAGTCGCTACGGATACAGGAATTGTTAGAAAATGGATAAAAGCACAGCAGATTTCTGTGAATGAACTGGAGATCATTTGATCGCAAATAACTAACTTCGCCAAGTCATTAACTGAAATGTCTGCATTTATCTGATCTTTGTAAACTCGCCTGAAACTTACAATTTCTTGCGAAAATGAATATGATAGATAATTGGAATAAAAGCTGATCAGGTTTTTAGATAGGAGGACCAAATCAGCATCAGAATGATCTCTCAGGACCGAAGGAAAAAGTACTTTAAATCTTTCAACTACGCTATTTAACCCTTTGAATCGATTTTCAAGTTGTGTGTCCTGTGTTCTTTAAAACTTGTATCAATTCCTCATTCACGATCTAAATCAGCTGCTTCACTTATAACTTCCTCGAAACTGTTCCTCATTTCTGCAATGTCTTTCTAAGCAGTTTCCAAACCGCGTCGGGCCCCTACCGAACCCCTGGTGCGCTGCACCACTTGCACCCCCTGTTGCTACGTCCCTGATGTTATCTCTGGGTTAAAAACATAGCTCAAAAATATTTAGAACAAAACTAAAGCAAAAATAACAGCATTCAACGTAATGACATAATGATTGACATAATGTACAAGTATAGTTTTTACTAATCTATTTTATCTATTATTTTTTTTATCTATTACTATGGAGTCACTATGGAGTACATCATAGAATTTTATTTTATTTTTATTTATTTACGCAAACTTAAAAATTGGTAGTATTGAGAGAAATAATAATTATGTTTTATATATTAAATTGATGAGTCGGTCTCTTAATAAAGAAAAGTCATTTATTATTATATCAGTAAAATCATCAGATTGTTGAAGAGCTGTGAAAAGATTTTTTTAGATTGAAAGTAAGGCGAGTGGCGATAAACGTTTATTTTTCATGGAATCTCTACTATAAATTTTAATGCATTTCAAACATGAAAAATGTCTCTCAACCCAAGTACTTGTAAATGGTATAGTAACAAACAAAACAAACAATTTGAAAGTCTCTGGAAATATATTTCCAGGATTATTCTCCTTAAATTATTTTATGCTCGAAATTATCATATCTATTATTAATACCTGCTATTTAATCATTAATTTATGTTGGTCAATAACATTTTTTGTTTGTTAAATCACTATTAAATGCGTTGGAAATTGGAAATGTATCAATATAACAAGTTTGTTAAATCAGATGTTAAATGCGTTGGAATTTTTTTAGGATTCTTTAAATTTCGGATCCTCAAGAGATAAATAAAAATAATTGACACATACGAGTACCTATCTGCAAACCTTACTTCTAAATGTATAACAATGTTATCTAATATTTCATAAAATAAAATTCGCAAAGATATTTGACTTAGCTGCTTTTATTAACATATCGAATTGAAATAGCACAGAGACTTTTCTGTAATATCTGTTGTATCGTCTTCTTGCACCGAATAAAATAACGCGCTTTTTTATTTTGGATTCTTTTATTTCTGTGGCGTGTTCTGAAATACAACCGGTTATATCATTTTTAATAATTTCAAACAAGCCCGAAAAAGATTTCCAATTTGCTTTAAACGTTTTTTGAATTTTCATATAAAAGCTTTAAATGCTACGTATAATGAATCATATGAAATATCCCCTTAACGAAATGTGATATATCTCCTTATGAAATATCCGTAATATCGTCTTAACATCTAAGCCTACCGAGCATCTACGACTTCATGCGAAGGCGACCGGAGATTTCGCCTAAGCCCCGCCTTAATATGTTATATTATTAACTCAGACTTACGTCGCGTCGCTAACGCACGATGAGTTAGACAGAGACAGAAGACTGCCGTACGTCGTGCATCGACTCTGATAGTAGGCGATGTACGGTCAAAATTATTTTGTTTTCTAACGCAGCGGCACAGTCAGCGGTCAGCGTACGCCAGCGGTAGTGAATATTATGTTGATATACAAGACCACACATATTAAAATAATATTGATTATTAAAACACACTTCCGTGTATTAACAGTATTTTTATGTATTGGCAACATTAATAGTAAATAAAGTAATGTAATAAATCGCTTAAATTCTGCCAAAATCTTAGGGTAGGCGCCGCCTACCTTACCTACCTTGACGAGCCGCCACTGGAATACACCATTTACCTGTGAATTTAAATGACAGACATAAACTGTCCCTGTCATGTATCCTCACATTGAACAGACTATGCACAGACTATAACCATTGATTGAAAGAACTTTAACTAATAGCATCAAAGATAAAGTCTGCATCATAATTTGTTTACCTCTGATTTAGCCGAAGTTTGACTTTAGCATTAGTTGTTGCTTTAAATTACCAGGATTATAAATAAAAATTAAAATTTGACATCTAAAGAAACAAATAACAAAAAGTCGAATTCTTTGCTCGAATTTTGAAAAACGTTATTGTAAAATGTTGTTTTTTTTTCTAATTTGACGTATAAAGTATATTTACAAATTGTCAGCCAATCTAGCTGAATCAAAAAATGATTTTTGAATGGCCCTTTTTAATATATGCTTTTTTGAGATAAAAATTAATATGTCTGACGATAGTCCGTTAATAATTTAATTAATATGTTTAAAGAAAAATTAAATATAGTTTAAAAAGATTGACTGAAGTGGTGCAAAGTATGAATAGCTACTCCATTTCTCGAGATAGCATCATGACATTGGAAACTGTAGATCCTGAAAACTTAACTACACGATGCTGAATGATAAAATATATTTCTCAGCCACTTGTAAAATTGTTTGTTTACACATTCTCTTCGTATGAGATTTCAGATAAAATTTAGAAAAATTGTGTGTGCACTATGATGATTAATGTATTATGTTGATAAATACTGAATTGAAGGATTTGAAGGACATGTTTAAAAAAGTGTAGTTTGAAATGTTGAAAAAGTATTAAATTAAAAATTAATAAATAATTTGATTCACTTTAATAAAATTTGTATTAAAATTACCGTCTGTCTGTCTCTTGTCTGAGTACTCCAATCTATCCACATGCCGAGTTTGGTTCCATTCGGCGCATAATTAGGAAAAATCGCGTTATCCTGTAGCCCGTCCCCAATTATGCCGAAATCGACCGACACTTTTGTTCAATATCAAATCCTTAGTCCCACCCTGATGAAGATATAAACGAAACGTCGTATCTACCTTTACAGGGTAGGACCATGTGCATCGTCGCTCACAAAACCTACCCACCAAATTTGGTCGCGATCGGACATCAATTGACGTTTCTTACTTCAAAACTAACTATCACAGTGACCAGCCCCGGATCTACAATTTTTTTGAACCGGGGCAAAAAATCGATAGTAGCGCCCCCTCTCTCCAGCGTTTGCAATAATTTAATTTAAAAACTTACAAATATCTAGATATAGGTAGGCATTTTTCGTAAACGGGACAGAATGAGCCCTTAAGCTTCATTCAGAACCTCCGAATTAGTGGAATAAATTAGTGGTTTCAATTAGCGTAGAAGTTTGTTCTTTTAATTTCAATGTAAGCATTCAGTACGTCTAAATTAGTGGTAGTTATTTGAAGTAGAAAAAGTAAACAAACTTTTGACTTTTCCACTAATTATACTTCAAATTTTGCGGGAAATGTCATTTTGGCCATTGATTAGCATCCGTCAAGAGAAATCGTGGTTAGAAATCAAAAGTTTATTGTTTTATAAGCTAAATATTTGGCTTTATTTATGGATACAACTGACTACCGCAAGCTGTTGCTAGGATGTTCTATTAATTTTAATTGTGTTTTTTAAACATTGTGAATGATCGTAAACTAAAAAGTAAAAAGTGTAAAGCTTCATTCAGAACCTCCGAATTAGTGGAACAAATTAGTGGTTTCAATTACACTTTATACTTTTTGGTTTACGATCATTCACAATGTTTAAATGCAAAAAAATTCTAGCTGTGAGCATCAATTAAAACCGAAATAATATTTGCTATGAGAGATGCAGAATTTTATAACAATTGAAACTATATTTAACGAACATCAACACATTTAAACTATATCTAAAAACAATAAAAATAAATAGCAAACCAAGACATGATATTTTGCTACAGGTGTTCGACATATCGACTGTCTTCTGTTATGGACAGCCACACGGGGCCGTTTTTGAACATTTCTCGCGGAATTCATTCTCAG